CTAGATGCTGAACCTAATGTTTTTGCCAGAGTACCTTGGAGGTATGAAATTGTCTCTTGCTCCTCCTTACCATTTACATTTTAAAACGTAACCAAATACTCTCCCCTCTCTGAAAGAAGAGGTAAAATGAAATTAGAACCACCTTAAGGGGTCACAGACTGATAGAAAGTTTTCTTCCTCTCCAATAAAGTGGAGAGTGAAATAGATGAAGTAGTTTTAATTCATGGAGGGACCAAAATTTTAAAAGAAGATTTGCACATGCACTCACATCTATGCTATCTTGATTCTGATGATAGCTTCAGTTTGTTAGTCTGGTGCCAGAAATACGCATCTCAACATCTGGCCTTCCCCCTGGATTAAGTAAGCTATACCAGATGAATATAGCAGCAAGGCTATGACACTAAGATAGCTTGGACAGAGCAAACAAATGAAAAAAATGTTTTCAAGTTAAATTCTTAAGTTCTTTGATTGTTTGCCCATTAGCGATCTGTGCAACAAAAGATCAGAGGGGAACTGATGTCGTGTGGCTTTAAATAATTTAGAAGCAGAAGCAATTGCTGGAGACTGCTTGAGGGAAATAAATAAATAAGTCCAAGAGAAGCATCTGGCTCAATCTGTCTGTCAAAAACCAAAGAATAATGGAAAAAGAACCTTCTTTTACCAAGTGTCTAGAAGAACATTTGCCCTGAAGATGCATGAAGTGAGAATTTTTTGCAGGCTTTTCTTTGCCAGCTGAAGGTATTGGATGACTTTTATGCTTTAACTAAAGGATATATGTGTGTGGCCAGGGAGGAAAAAGGACTAGTAACATTGGTTGACATAAAGTGATGTGCTGTCAAATTAGTGCCGCAATGATCACAATTTAGCAGGATTGTTTACAAGTTGGTTTTACTGATGGAGCAGGGATGAGAGATGAGAGTTACAGGTCTATTTTTCAAAAAGGAAAAAGAAATTTTAAGAGAAATAGTGTATTTCATCTCTCGTTGTGCAGGAGAAAGGATATGATGGGCTGAGTGTGTGAGGGGGACCCTAGTAAGACTGAAACTATTCAGCATGGACAGAGAAATCGTCAGAAAATTGTAATCTAACCAGTCTCCCAGTCTTCGCTTTTTGTTTTTAAGCACTAAAAAGTTCCCTCAAAGCAGAGTTTAACAGGAGGATGTCTATACTGCTCTATCTGACCAGAGCAGGTTCTACACTGGAATAACCCTGTTGACTTGAAGGGACCATTTTAACGGAGATCCAAACCTGAGCTCACAAGTTTAAAGAAAAGCCATACGAATGAGAGTTTCACTATCTGTAAATGCAATCTGGTGCAAGCTTGCACTGAAGTGGGCAGTGCTGCTCTCTCCCACCATACCAATGTAGGGCAGGAAAAAACTTTATAGAAATGACCCTGCTTGAAGTGTGACAGAGCTATGCAGGCACTCATGGAGCTCAGTGGACATAAGTTCAGTCTGACTTTGCTCTGTTTAGGAAGAGGCATTGGCCTGTAAAAATAGTTCTCTAGCTGACCAGAGGGCCCTGCTTCTTTGTCTAGCAGAAGACATAAATTAAAGCAAATGATTAGCCATATCCCTAAATATGTTTTGTTATTTTTAACTCTGTAGATATGCAGATATAAAGATGGTAAAGGGTGTAAGCAGTTTCATATTTAGGTTCTGGAGGCTGAAATGAATACTGATTGATTGCTGCTTCTCCTGAAACTTCAACTAATGGCTATTAAGCTTGCTTCAGGTGAAAAAAGAAGAAAAAGCAAACAAAGTCAGATGTGAATTGGGAAATGTGTTTGTCTGTGATAGTAACAAAAAAATAATCCCATGTGGTTTGAACAGTGTTTTATAAAGTCTAGGGAATATTTCTCAAAATGTCATCTTCAAATACTACTACTTTGACTCTCCTGAAGATTCCCCTGAAATTCCCTGTTATTTACTCCCCTGCACAGAAAACAAAGTCCTTAGTGATTGATACTCTCCGGACCCTTTCGAAGAATCTTCTGCCTTATCAGTAACCTTTTCTGCACTGTCAAGAAATCTACAGTTTCAGAAAGCAGGCAGCTCTGAAGTCTCCTAGGTCCTAATCTAAATGTAGAGCTTTATTAATCACTGAGTATACTGGTCTGGGTTTGCTGGTTGAAACAAGCAGGCATTCTGGAACACTGATTTGTTGATGTAGGCCTACTAACATTTCAAGAAAGAGCTGTGAGAGTACTTGGAAAATATTTTTCATGTGTCTGCAGCAGCAATCACCTGCTTTACCCTATTGAATAGGGCCCCGTTTGAACAGTACATTGTAAGAATGTTTTCATGGCTAATTAACACAATTAGGCTTACGTGAATGATCTAGGAGCAGGTGCTGGTAGATGTAGTAAGGAGTTATATTTTGTAGTCTCTGACTGTATTGCACTTTGCACTTTCAGGTGGATGCCTGACACTCAAATAGCACTGGAATCTGCTCGGGGCACTTTGATACTGTTGCCTTCCTGCCTTTCCCTTCCCAGACAATTGCCTTTTAAAATGTAGCTGGAAAGATCAAAAGCATTATTACTGTAAAAATCACTGTGAAATTAAAAGGGATAGGAATCAGCCATTTGTGTAGCAGGTTCTTTTCATGTCTCTGCATAGACTTGCCAATTAAGGTTCTCTTTTCTCAGTTGGAGATGTTAACCTGTGCTGCTTTTATCTCGGGATCCCTGCCCAGGTTTCTAAAGTGATTTGTGGTCATTTGAGATCTTCCTTCGTTTTTGTCACTTCTTCCTGGGAGGAAGAGTGGCACTGATGGGAAATGTCTTGCTATTTATAGACCGTCTCAGTGTTGTCTCCTGCGGTTATAGAGAGGAGGCAGCATACTGTCTATTTATTTTACTTTTAGACCACCAGTCTCTCAGCCTGAGTTTCTCACCATGGACTTGCTGCTCAGAATTTTTGTCTGATTTCTTTTAGGTGACTTTTTCTTTACAAGTGCATTATATTGATCACTACGGTCTTTACCCTTTCTTTTGATGTGTGCCTTGAGGTCCTGGTTACTGAACGTTTAGTCTGACATGGCTGGGTGGGAATGGGGATCCTTTCTATGGGATCCAGAACATGGAGTGAGGTTGGGGCCTTGGGGCATGCCTGTATCTTACACATTCTAGGGGCAGGATGCAGCTAGAGCAAGTGCTTGCAATAGGGAGCTGGGACTTGCTCCTGGGTACAGGAGATTGCTATGCTTTCTCTGTCTGTCTTCAGTTATCCACCTAAGCTTCTCTGCGACATTTATCACAGTTACATTAGCTCATATTTTTGGCTTTAGTCAGATCTTTACTGCATTATAGGAGAAGATCTGATAAACTGCAAAGTAAAAATGAACACTTAGCTTCTTTTTAAATGCTCAGACTGAACTCTATTAATCTGTTGATAGAGAGCATTCAGCTCCAGAAATAAAGTTGTGAAGTACTTAGCTAAAATTCTCTCAACTTCCTTAAATTTTACTTGATTCAACCCTGATTCACTGATAACATCCTAGAGTTTATAGTAACAACAACATAGGTGAAATCCTGACCCTCTTGAAGCCAGCAGGGAATCCTTCACTCAAGATTTCCTACTAGATACCTCACTGTGGCCACTGTATCCCCAAAATGTGTCATCCTCTGGCATCTTTGGTGGAGCAGGAAATGCCATGAGGATTTCTCAGACTCGAGGGACGTGTGGGGCAGTCTTCCCCTGAAATAGCTAAAGAGTACGGGCAGTTGTCTAGCATTGACTCTGTGCTTCCTGTCATTACAAAGTTGTTGTGAGAAGGCTTGTTGGGAAAGGGTCTGACTGACACATGCCCAACAGACAAATTTCATTGTCTTTGAACTGACTCAAACTGTAGCCTGTGCTTCTGTGTCAAGGCATCTCATGCTAACTGAGACTAGTTGAGGGAACAGAATTAACTTATACAATGAATTCTTACTAAAATAAAGGTAATACCAAAGCTTGTATTCAATATGTAATTAAATATTTTCCTAATGCGGTATACCCATTTATAATATGTGAAGCCTGACTTTAGTCCCCTGGGAACAGACCAGTAAAGAATAGCATTACAAATATTTATTTACTTCTCCTGTCCCTCACTGGCTTTATTTTAATGGGTGTGCAAAACAGCATGAAAGCTACAGGGGAGAAAAAGCCCCCCTGGGAAACCCTTTATATCAGGATGAATTGGAAAAACAAACTGTAGGGTGCTCATTTGCCATGAATCGCTTTTCACATCACGTGCGGAAAATGAATGAGGCGTCTGTGGATCTAATTCCCTTTGTCCCAGTTGTAAAGCAGATCAGCACAATAGGAGAGGCACAAGGCCGGCAAAGCAAGAGGTGGAAAGCAGGCACCATTCAGTGAATTAGTTTTCAGTCATTCCAGTGCCACTTGCTCCTTTTCTTCTCTACAGATTTAAAGAACAAACAAAACCCTATGGTCCCTGGGAAATGCCTCTGTTAAGTGCTGCTGCTGAGGTCTCGCTAAGCACGGTGGCAATGGCAGAGAACACGAATCCTTCCCACTGTCAAGCTGGGTCCCTTGTCACTCCAAGTGGGAGGACAGAAAGCACATCACCACAGTCTTGCTGCACGTTAAGAAAACAGCAGATCAGTGCATTGAAGATTCTGTTTTGTCCCAGGGGTAAAAAAAGATAAAGATCTAGGGTTGCCTTCTTTTTCTTTAACCTAACTTCAAGATAAAAATCCTAGTCATCTTTTTCATGCTGAACTGGATTTTTGACAGCTGTTTGTTATTCTGAATTAGGTTACGCTATTTCCTCTTTATTATGTTTTATCTAAATACAGTTTGATTTGTGTGTGTATCGACCAAACCAGCTATATTTGAAAGATTAAAAATATTTTTAGCTGCAAAACCCAGTGCTAGCTTGGGAGTGTAACCCTTCCACTCATTGCCTGGCTTATAAGCCTCTCTAACTGCCTAAGAACAACTTTGCTGACCAGCTAAAAGAAAAATGGAAATTTAAAAAAATCTCACCACAGCTTTTGTAATGTATTTCCAAGTTTTCCTCTTTGCAGACTGTGTGCGTAGGCCATTCTGTGCTGGCATTGATGTAGAGCAGGACTAAGATGAGAACAAGAACGTTCGATGTCTTCATGGCAGTGGTGGTAGTTTGCAGGGTTACTTCTCCGTCTCTTGCTAACCCTCTGTGGAGGGAGAGGTTCCTTCCTTTTTCCAAGGAAGACAGGAGTTACTACACTGGCGCCTGCAGAAGGGTTAAGTGAGCCAACGCAGCCTTAGCTTACCACAACGTGGTATAAACAAGAGGTTAATCAGAATTGGAGGGTGCTATTTCCGAGTGCTTAGACTTCTGCTTTCTGCTTTGTGTTAGTTTAAACTAATGACAAATGAGCTAATCACACCTACTCGCTGCACGGCGTAGCCCTTCCTCGGTGCCTGCTGGAACAATGCAGCAAAGTGTTTAGTTTTTTTGTCACTGCCAGTTTCTTCTCTTGAAGTCAAAGCATTTGGGTCAACACTTCAGACGGGCTTATTTAGCCCTTCTGACTGCAAAACATTGCACTCCAAATTGCCCCATCTTAATCACACGAAGTCAGACCAAATTTTGCAAGATGGACAGTTTGGTTTCTATGTTGTTCTTAGTAACAAGTCTGCCTGCTAGAGGGAAGGGAGGTGGGTCTGATAAAGCTGATGCCAAATAAGCAAGTGTTGAAACTTTCAGGAATTAATCCTTTCTGCTTGACTGTGCTAGATACTGCGTTTATGTTCATTTTGTTCAGTGGTTCTTAGGAATGTACTATTTAACAGTATACCCAATCAGGTAATCCTAGACTTAATTTTTTTTCATTCTGTCTTCTTGGTTATTTAACTGCCCACTAGTGACACTCTGTATTTGTTATTTGCACTAGCTTTTTTTAAAGCTGTGCTTTATGCAGAAATTAGTGGCTGTTGCAGATGGCAGGGAATAATCAGTAAGGAAAGGAGGGAGGGTTGCTTCATCTCCAGTGAACTTCTCTGATTTGGTTTAAGATCCAGGGTTGGAATAGAATTTCAAACTACCGCTGCCAAAAAAGTCTTTCCTGGACAGAGCACCAACTGGAAAAAAGCTACAAGCTAAATTCAACCCTAAAGCAAATGTCTGCAATAGTCTTCTCTGAGCTGGAGACAAGGAGAAATTGGCTGTGCAGCATGACAGAGCTGGATAAAAGATCACTTTGGCCATCTCAGCATTTCTTGCTCTGAAGGCTGCGAGTATCATTTGCTGTGCCACTGAATAAAATTGAAGAGGGGAAAGCCTATGTACAGGAGAGCACCTAACAAGATAATTATGAAATAATGCTAAATGGCAGAGCTGTTCCTCAGGCAAAATCCTGGCCTGAACGAAGGTATTAAAAGTAATCCCATAGATTAAAGAGGAGAGCCAAGATTTCGACCATGATGTATTAGTTTTAAAAGCCAATTCAATACAATCCAAGAGACCTTGCTTTGAATAATAAGGCCTACTTCGTGTTTTTGGATACTATCGTAATGGTAAATTATACGTCCAGGGCCAGAGTGAGAATCCAGGCAACTGTCCTTAGGCATGAAACACACACAAATTGCATAAAGAGATCTGGGTTACAGATCAGCCTGGTCTGACTGAACTTTGGTTGTACCCAGCGGATAGTCGACGAAAACAAGTGCAATTACAAAGGGAATAGTAAGGAGAGACATTGTCTAAGATCACTAATATGTTTAAACTAGAATCATGTAAAGTAAAAGTTCTTCCACTGTCTTTGTAGGCCTTAGTGGGAAAATTTGATATAGCAATTTATTACAAAATGCAAAGTACTTTGGATCAGGACTGTGAGAACGCAACCTCCAGATTTTTTTTAGGAATGACATCATCATGGTCCTTTTTTTAAAATGTCAGCTTAATGCTCAATAATGATGAACAAAGCAAATCAAATGATAGGGCAAATGCTTCAAAGAGAAGACCTGCTGGGGATCACTAAATAAACCAAATCAGGCTCAGGACCTCTTCTGAGATGAAAATCATTGGAAGCTGGAAAAATATGTGGGAGAAATACCATACATGCTTGCCCTGCTCTTACTTTTCTCTGCATGCCTGCTTGTCCACACTGCTGGGTACAGGTTATTGGGTTAAATGGAGCCTAGGTCTGGACTAGAATGGTTTACCTGGACACTGGGCTTGTTCTTTATCCCTCCCTTCCCTCAGCCCACCTCATCCTGTTGGAACAGCGTTGCTGGTGCTCGTGGCTTTTGAAGTACTGACTCAAAGCAGTTTTTCAGCTTTGCAGAAGCCCTGCAGTAGCTGCTCTGCAGATATCCAGGAGTCTGGGCCTTGCCTTGCAGAGATTTCAGTCTAAGCACAAGCAGACAGCCTGGGAAAGTGGAACAACACCGGACTTCCGGATGCAAATCTTCCTGCTTCCCTGAAAGGATGGCTGGGGTAGAGCTAGCGGAAACCGAAATGACTTGGTAGATGAGCTCAGGAGCTCTGCTAGGCACAGACAAGTGCCTGTACTGTTTCCCCGTCTGGTGCATAGAGTCTCTCTTGCTCTTTTGAGACAGCTACTTCATCCTTTTTTTTGGCAGTGCTCCTGACACTGACTCAAAATGACAAGTCACAAGATTATTTTTTTTTTTTTTGAATGCAAGGTTGGAATGTGTGTCTCAAGTAGTTTTTGGGTAGCCAATGTTCTGAGGGGGAACAGCCATGATAACTAATGTTTTGGAAAGCCACGCTGTCACTTCCACTTTGCCCCACCATGTTATTCTCAGTGGGAAGGGAATTTTACTTTGAGTGGTTCAAGTTTACAACATCTACTCCAGACACTGTTTCGCCATTTCATTCCCTGTGTAATCCTTGTATCTCCTAGAAAGAGCTTTATTACCAACTCCATCTGTTCTGAGAACTGCTTTCCCTTCAAACAGCCGAAGCCTGTGGGATGAGAAACTACATCTAAACGAAGTGGTATCAGTGCTGGCAGTGGGAATTCTGTTTTGGCAGGTTGCTCTGCTGGCCAACAAGCGTGTTTCTTTATCTGCCTGATTGAAGGCTTTGACCATAGAGATAAGCAGATCAAAAATGTGCCTGTAAAGCAAGCTATTTACTTAAAGAGGGACAGTGGTTTCAAATATCTAGACCATTCTTCACCTTGTTTGGATGCTTCTGCAGTATTGAAGAGTGAAAGAGCCTCTTGTTCCTTATCAAGAAGATTATTGTATGTGTAATATAGTTAGGAAGAGCAAAAGATACAAAGATATGGTGGTGGAGTCACTATCCCTGGAGGCATTTAAAAGGTGTGTAGATGGTGCTTAAGGACACGGTTTAGTGGTGGACTTGGCCATGCTAGGTTTGTGGTTGGACTTGATGACCTTAGAGGTCCTTTCCAACCTAAACAATTCTATGATTCCATAGCAGAGTAGTAAGCAGGTAAGTTTTACATTAATGTCTGCAACTTCTTGGGTTGGCTGATACAAGATTGCTGATGTATCAGCAAATGACCCCCCTACTCCACCCCCAAATAGCTGTTTTGTGCTCACATGGCATCCTTGCCCTTGAATTGGTTTAATTGTTCTCTGGGCTCCCTGCAGAGGTTTAGCTAGTCATGAGGCTCAGTGCTCCAGCGGGGCCTCCTGCACCTACACTATGACTTTTGCCAAAATAGTTATGGGTATGTTGTTTTTCCTATGCTCCTAGCCAAGTAGTGGTGTTTGCAAAACTTTTTCAAACATAGACCTGAGCAGTGCTTCACCTGATCTCAGCAATGGGGTTTCCTCTTACGAATTTCTTTTATTTAAAGATAAACCCCCCCCCTATTGTGTAAATCCAGTATAAGGTGAGTCCTAACCAAAGTTTAAGTTCTTTCTTTCAAGCCAAAACCTTTTTTCCTTGCCTTTGGTGTCTTTGTGTACATCTGTGTTGTACACTGAAACGTTTCCACAGGAAAAGCTTCACATTAAAAACTTCATGTTAAAAGCTTCACTGATTTCTCTTCCTCTTTCTTGTAATTCTCTCTGAATAAAAGCTTTCTGCTTCATATTTCTCAGTGTGGGTCTCCTGCTAGTGAAAGACAGCAAGTGAAAATTTCTCAGCAAATAGACGAGACTTTTCAGAGGAGATACCTTCATGCTCCAGAAAAGTAAACTTTTCCTGCTGTGCTTGTAATAGTGTATTTAATGTTTAGGTTAAAAATCCAAGGTCTTAGAAATGCAATATAAACTAATGTGCCACCCCTCCCACTCCCTTTTCAGCTGTACCTGAAAGAAGATGAGTGTTTTTTTCTGAGATTTCCACAGTGCTGGGTGGGTTTGAAGCGCTGTGCCTCAGCAGCGTGCCTGGTGGGGCTCATGCACTGCATAAGGTCTGCAGGACCAGAGATCGCTGGGGCCTCAAGCCCCCAAGGCTTCTCCCTTTCATGGGATGAGAAAGTTTCTGGGACCCACCAGCCCTCTTGGCCGCCACTGCAGCACCTGCTCGGCGGGCACCCAGCTCCTGCAATCATTCCTTGTCCCTGCAAGTGCTCCAGGACCAAACCGATAGCTGGGGCTGAGACTGCTGCAAAGTGACAAAATTTGACACGAGCAGAAGTTGCAGGCGGGGGCTGCTGTTTCGTGCTTTCTCTGAGCACTGTAAAGCCGACCTTTGGTGAGCCATGGGATGCTCTCAGCACAAGCCCTTTGTGGCTGTCTGGGGTTGGACCGCTGCTCAGGAGTACTTGCTCCTCGTGAAGCACTGATGCTGTTTGTGGGTATAGCATGAGCCTACACGGTTTTATACAGGTCAGGTTTTAATTACTTTGACACCTTAAATAGTAGCAGACTACTATGTTACCTACCTTGCTAATTTTAATTTCTCTTTTTAAAATTTAATTTTTCAGGAAAATGGAGTAGTCAGTGGTATGGGGAAAAGGAAAGAACTTTCTTTTTATCATTTGTATTAAATGTTCAGAAAACTGTCTAAGCTTGTATGTTGTTACAACTTTGCAGGACTCCACCTGGAGTCTGCAGCCTGTGAGAGAGACTAAAGGTTCCTGGTTCATCTGCTGCCAAGTGAGAGGGTGTGCGTTTGTGCCAACATACACATCTTAGGCCATGCAACTGTAATGGTATGTGCAAAAGTGTGAAGCCTTGTACAGCTTCCTTCTGGTAACAAACCAGTCTCTGCCTGAAGT